GTTCCTTTAGTGTCCCTCTGAAATTCGGGTGGAAACACCAAAGGAGACCRGCATAAATAGTTGCTGGATGGAACTGAATCTTCCATTAAAATGGGGATAACAAGGTGGTGAAGCAACTGTGGCCTGAGCACTGGGGTGACTAATGAAAGCTCGTTACACCTTAACTCAAAGCCAATAATGCCACTTCCTCCCTTTTTTAGCAAACCTGTGCAGTGTTTATTGCGTCTCTCTGTTGTCATGTACTGAAAATATGCCAGTGAATGACACATATGGGCAAGCATTTCTTTCTGTTGAAGCTTTTTAGACCAGAGACAGACAACACAGCAGAGCCCAGGGCAGCGGCTGCTGCTGCTTTGGAAATGCCTGTCGTGGCTGGAGTGCTTTGCACAGCAGCTATAGGGAGCTCAGCCACGAGGAACATAAACAGCAGCAACTTGTTGGCTTTGGCCCAAGGTGTTTTGTACAGGGAGTTAAAGTGATGTTGGGTTTAGTAGTTCTGAAGGTTTGAGAGACTTGCGCAGACTCCAAGGTTCTTGATTTATTAGTTAATGGTAGCTGGTAGATTASATGAGAGGCCTAAGTGTGAATGGTTCACTCTGGATACCGGTGCTGAGCATCCCATATTAAAGAAGAGCAAAGTTGCATGAATCCAGTAATGCTGTTGTAAAGGCCTTTTGAAGTCTATATAGTGTGTTTCTCACATTAAACTGTGTACAGAGTAGTAGTAATAAACTGCAGATCTGAGTTTATCCTAAAGAAATAACCAATTAAAAATGAAAGTACCACACTGCACTCTAATTCTACTGATGATTCTTAAGGTTAGAATGTTGCCCTGGTATGAGAGATTGTTGCCATACCCTGTCTCAATCGATTTGTTAAATCAATTCCCTTTTTACTCATCTTACTCCAACTATATTTCCCATTTAAATATTAGGTGTTAYAGTGAGGCCTAGTATTTTAGCATGTGAACTCTTAAAAACCCTCAAAGTACAGTAGTAGATGAACTGTGTAAGTTGGCAGAAAACAAGTGAATAGCATCTTATTTCCTGTGGTARCTCCCAATGGCCCTTGCAAGCTGAAGTTGTTCCTTAGCCCTTTTTAATGAAAAAGGCCTATTTTTTCCACAGCTGGAGTGGGATTTAGAAATTTGCCTTTAGGCAYGTGTAACACCTGCACATAATATAGCACTCCCTTGGCAATCCAAGGGAATATTGTCGTGGCACTAGTAAAATCAGAKTTGGTATCTAACCTTGACCTGTTGTCTGCTAGAAAAGCAACTTCAGGCCGGGAATTAGATGCTTTGCATTTAGGCAACTGAACCTCGTCCCTATCTTCTGTACTTCCCAGCAATGAAACTTTCTTAAATTATTTTCCTGGATAAATATACTGAGTTTAGAAAACTGAAKTATTTTTAGTAGGGCTGATGGAGAGTTTTTGTTTTGACAAAATGAGTTAGACTTAACTCTTTAAGAAAATAATTTTCATAAATCTTACACAGATGTCAAACTCTAAAAAAATTTTAGCTAAAATAGTTTTTGTTGATGTTACTCTATTTTTAAATATCTTTCTCATATTCTGAAAGAAATCATTTACTAAAGTTTCTAGTCTTGTAGTCTTTAATTTGTCTTCCCCTCCTCAAGTTTTTTATTATTACTGGTTCTTCTACAGCTTGTTTATATTTGCAGTCTACATCAAATTCTAGTTCGACACCATGGCTGTCGCCTGTGAGCACTTGGAGATAGACACTTTGTAGTCCATCGTGCAGAGCTTTGGAGACTGCAGTGCCAGTCACAGGCTGAACGTTGTCGTCTTGCAACATACTTTGCCATTCTGCCTTTGCTCTGGAAAACTTCTTGGCATTCAGAACAGCTCTGCAAAGAAGGCTGAGTGATTTGGGATTCAAATAAAGATCTATTAATTTCTCAATTTTTTTTTCCCCCCCTTAGGAGGTTCATATAGTTGTAGTGGAAGACTGAGCCTGCAATAACTTCCAACAGTAACTCACTTTAAGTTCTATTTCAAAAAGATCTTTATGAGTATGTCTGATGGCGTGAGCATATAAATAGTATGTCATAGATTCAGCAGAGCTCTTCCCTGTTTTGCTGTACTCATGCTCATGTCTGCAAAGAGGAAAACACCATACACAGGATTTGTCTTCTGTCATTAAAATCAAGCAGAGCTATCCAGTCTTAGGTTTGATTGCCATAAATGCTTACCTGATGCTGTAAACACATGTATTAATACATTACTGTATTGTGGTTACATTTGTAACAGGAAGATTGCTCCTTCAATGCTACTTCCTTTCAAGCAGTGTGTAAATGTTTTGGGAGAAAACTAAATTTGGCTAAAAGGTCAAGGTTTTTTATATCAAAATGCATAACTGCATGCAATTTATGAATGTTTTAATGTTTGGAAGCTTTTTAACTGGCTTCCAGTGGCAGTAAGCTTTTAGAAGAGGTTTGACCCTTTCTTCCCTCACGCTGGTTACTAATGAATAAGAGATGGCCTAATCTTYTTTAGTAACTTTGTAAATGGCCTGACAAATTTAAACTGGTATTTATTTATTTATTTATTCAAATAGCCTGGAATGAGAAATGCAACTTCCTGACTCCCGAGAACAAAATAGCCACTAACAAAACAGCTTGCAGTTTACCTGATCTGACAAATTTATTAAGATTCCAAGCAAAAATGTTCAACTTTCCTTCTGTTCCTCAATATTTGTCTTCATTCCATATTCAATTAACCACAAGGGAAGAGATAACTGGTGTTGAAGGGAACCACCTAATGCCATTGCACCTTCTCTGTACTTCTCTTTCAGAAGCCCTGGTCAGCCCTGATAGGGGCCCTTCCGTCCTAGCTGAAAAGGAGATTTTTCAGTTATGTGTCAACRTATAGTTGGAAAAGAAAGCTTAGTTGTGCCTGGTTTGAGAGCAGCAGCTCTTCAGCTGTGTTAGCAGCCACAGTTGTGCTAGTGTGTGTGTGCTGTTTGCTTAAGCAGGCAGAGTTATATTTAATTGGAATAAGCAGTAGTTTGAGTTTACATCTCAGCTCTTCAGCCCCTTGTGCCTCCAAATAGCAGCCCTCGCCTGCCCAGTGTATTTAGCAATTTCCCCCATCTGGTGCCCAACCTAAACTTGCTGAGTGTGAGCTTTGTCCCTCCATCTGTGTCACTGATGAGTAAGGGAAACAGTATTAGACCCAAAAGATCAGCAGCAGCTAATTTTGAATCAATAGCAACAACCCTGTGAGTCCAGTGGATCCAGTCAGCTTTTCACACACTTCCTAATTCACATGTTTGGCACATAATCAATTTGAGTTGAAGTACCCTACAAATTGTCAAAAGCTTTGCTGAAGTACAGGTGACTGTAGCATATACTCTTACCTACCCAACAATTAAAAACATGTATCTAAAAACCATTCTGCCCTTAAAACTAGTCCTATATGATGTGTACTTGTCTTGCATGGGTGCATCTCTCTATTTATTTCTTGCACATTACCAGAAATACTTAAAGTATTGCATTAAAGAATGATTAGATCAAAGTTGAGTGGGGTTAAAGCAAATTCTGGAGTGATCAGTAGAGCAGCCAGAAAGTCAATGCAAGAGAAGAAGGAAGAAAAAGTATTTGTCCCCTCACAAGGTGCGAGTGTGGATCATATCCTTATTTTGAGAACTAGCTTTGAAATCATTGATCTCTGTACTATATATTCTGGGGATGCATGGCACATGAAAAATTGTCATATTTTGATCACTGAGCAAAAAGTTGATAAAACAGCTTTAATCCTATTCTTCTCCTTGTGTCACATAATGGAGAGGAATGGGATTAAAGCTTTGGATGCAACTTCTTGACTCTGGGAATGCAAGAACCAGTACAACTTATAACAACTTTATTTCTTGGCTTTTTAAAAAGAATAGTTGGAAATGATGAGAATAAGTTGAGTGCTTGCATTTTAGATTTGTTACGGATAAAACTGGATGTCACAAGTATTCCTTTCTCCTTGTCTTGSAGCTGCAGAGCTATTGCTGCTCGAGAGGGCAGCTCTGTACTCAGAATCCACAAGGATTCAGTCAAAGCTCTTGCAGTAGGGCAGGTGGATGGGGAACTGTTGGAGTTGTGGTCCTCTGCTCTGTGGTAGCATCTCTGGGAAGTTTTTAATATGCACTTACTACACAAGATGCTCRTTTAGTATCTGACAGCTGTTTTAAGATGCTTTCAAACAAATGATGATTTTTGAATCTCTCTTAAAATCACTTTGTTTGCTGTAGTTACATCAAAGGAACTGTTGTAGACCTTTAGCCAGCCTGTTGCACACCARGGCAGTGTGTTGCAGAGCTTTCTGGCTAAAGGCTTTTTGGCTGAACACCTGCTACAAAACAGAGGTGGTGTTTGGAGTAAACACGTGGATAGATGAGTAGCTCCTAATGCTTTGGAGGTGACCAAAAAGAATAAACTGAGTGGTATGGTGGAATGTTACTGGAGAATTACTGAACTTTGCTGTGATTCCGTTGGCTCCAACATTGTCATCRCTGCTAACTAGAGGAGTCGGAACCCTCCTGAGAAGCCTGAGTTTTGCTTCTAATCTTTCTGCTAATCTTGGGAAGCAAAGCAGGTGCAAAGAATTTRCAGATTCTGAGAGGAACCTCTGGAAGGACTTTTGGGTGAAAGGTTTAGAATGAGGCATGCAACTTGTATTATTGATTCCTAATTTATCCCCAGGATATTGGTAAYTTTGACCTGCTGCTCAGTGTACGTGAGTACAGTGAAAAGCACCAGGCTATAGTGTCAATTGTGTTTTCTTTGTGACTTTGCTGTGTCTGCTCATCATAAGTCTGAAACCACCTACACATGCGTTGTCCTTGCAAAAGCAACCATCATCTAAGCACTTTGTTTTTCTTACCACTGCACATTTTTCTTTCATTGCCTTTCTCCACTTTTTTTTCTTACCTTTTTACTTTTCTTCAACTGTCAGTGGAATTATTGTCTTCCTGTCTCCATATTCAGGTAGTATCGGTGGCTGAGTATCACTGCAGGATCGATGCTCTAAATAGCGAAGAACTGCGCACACTCTGCAGACGTCTCCAGGTGCCCTCTTTGGTAGTTTAATCCCATCAACAGCAAATAAAAGCATCTTTCTTTGTAGTGTCTTGGATCAGGACAAGTCCCATTCTCGGTGGGTTTGTCTTATCTACAGCACTACAAGAATCCAGCAGAAAATTCCTTTTTTTCTGGATTTATTCTATTGTGCAGTGCTATGATAGAATACAGTAATTTATGACTAAATTATTATTTCAAACTTTTTGAAATAGGAATTTTCTGTCAGAATTCAAAGACTTGCTGTCAACTCTGTTTGACTTTGTGTTTTAACTTTTACTATAGGCTGGTGTGTTGTATTAGACAGAAACTTTCCTAAAAAGAATGCAAAACAGGTGATGAATCCAAAACTTGTTACATAGTTGTGTGGATACTTAATTCTATATAGGAATAATTCAGCAGAATCTCACAATACTTGACCATTATGAAGCTTCACAGCTGCTCTGTGGAATAGGTAAGTATTTTTCCCATTATACAAGCAGGGAACTGAAGGTAGTTTGACATGTTGCAGCTCACGTGAATGTAGTTGCTGGTGGAACTTCATGTTCCAAAAACAGAACTCTAGCTCTGACTTCGAAGGTTTAGTGAGATGGATTTAATCTGATATTTGCATTCTCTTTAGGTGTTTCTCAGTTCTTTGATGTATATTAAACTTGCAATTGGTTTGTACATCATATATAATTTACTGATTGAAAACATAGTTTAGCACTCCTAAGACGCCTTAAATTTTTGTTTCCTCATAGTATCTGGCTGATGAAGTTGTAGACATTCTCAGTTTTGTTTTGCTCTTGGCTCTTTTCTACCTACTATGTAACTGTATATAAGAATGCCTTTCTGAGCTTTTATATCTCTTTAATAATCAATAATTAACTGCTTAAATGAACCCCAAAGCAGGACTTCAGCTTCTCTAGGACAAATAGATGTTCTGCAAAATGTTTAATTGCTCTGCACACCCTGGGCTCTGCTCTGAGGCCACTTGTGCCATTTCTAGTGTGGGCGACATAGGGGCCACTAATAGTGGAAGCCTCTGGATTCTACTCGGGAGTCAGTGTGGGAATTGCCAAGGAGTCAATAGATTAAGGAGGAAATAAAGTTGTGCGTTTTTAACCTGTGTATCATTGCATGCAGATATGTTCTTCTCTCTATTCCCACAAAGCAATCCTCTAATAAAAATGCTTTTTTTCTGAGGCTCCTTAATCAGAGTGGAAAAACTTAGGGAATAAACTCTGCACTTGAGCATGGTTTAAGTTGCATCGAATTGAAGCATTAGTATATGATATCTGAGATTTATAAGAGGGAAAAGAACTGGGCTGCTAAATGGCACATTTTATAGGACTTAACGATAGTTTCTGTCTTTGCGCAGGAGACTGAATGTATAAACATGTACCCTGCACTGGTGGTCTGGAAGCTGGTGCATAGCTGCTATTCTGGAAGTTCGTTGCCTTGAATTTAAAAATTGAAGGCTCGAGATTTGCATACTTAATGCTGACTTTAAGTGTACATTTTCTTGAACAAGGAATCAACATTGTAACTAAGTCATACAATTTTGAATATCCTTTGACTTTATAATTTCTTTTTTTTTTTGTAATAGGAGTTTGTGCTGGTATAATTTCTTTCATAGCTCTTGAGGGAAAGGACTATTCTGGTTTTGTTCAGGTGCCTGTCTTTAAGTCATTTTGTTTTCAACTTAGAGTTTTGATATTTGCAAGATTTCACCATAAATCTTTAGATGGTCTAAAGACCACTCAGTGAGTTTTGACTTAGACTGATACAGTGTTCAGAATTGCTCTGTTATTTAGTTTCTATTTTCTCTTGGGTAATTGAAAGTTATGGCAAACCTTGCTCCAGTGGCTTAAGTTGCTACTTTCCTCAACTTTCTCTCCTGCCTCTCTGGGAGATTTCTAGTATCCTGACAGGAAAATTTAACCAACTTATGGAAGGAAAAGTGTCTGGATCTCAGCTGGTCTAGTTCTTAGCATATGGCATTTAAACTTGAAAGTGCCAGTGAATGTGGTGTGAGGTGAGAAGCTGCTGTGAGCTGTGGCATCTGAGGAGTCTTGTGGCTTTTTGCTGCCTCTCATAACTGCTGCTCTATAACAGCTGAGCGGGTTAGACATATGGGGCAGACATTTTTAAACTACTACAGCAATTACTTCCTTGCCAGTCCCCAAAACTCTCCATCCGTGGTGCTGATGCTCAGCATACTTTTCTTTCCTCCCTCCTCTCAATTGTCATTTTATCTTCTTTGCCCCATGAAAAGCCCAGCGGGCTGATTCCAAGATAATCAGTGTTCATAGGACTCCATTCAGATGCTTTCCTTTGAAAAGCTTGACAGCAATTTCTCTAGATGAGCGATAGACATGTGGAAAGCTTTACAAATACTCTACAAGTTCCTGATTCAAAAATGGAGAGCTTCCGTTTGGAAGTTTCTGTGTTGCCTCTTTGTCTGTAGTTTCCTTTAATTGCACTTAGCGTGACTATGATGTAAGTATCACAATGCAAGCATTTTGTACTGTGCTCTCTGGAGAGAGAAGTCCTCTCTTTCTTTCAAACCTCTGTTGGGAGTCCTTCAGCTGGGTGTAGGGGTTATCTTTTTTAGCACAGAACCACAATTTCCTTCTGAGTGTGTGTAAGTTTATTATATTGTTGAATAACAACTTATGCGAAGCAGGACAAATCTAATGGTTTTCTTAACTTTCAATGGAGCTGTGATGCTAAATTGGTAACTGCATGATTTTGAGCCTGCAAAACAAATGTTTTTGCAAATAGTTGTGAATACTTACTTTTTTGAACTTCTTTTGTAGATAACAACAAGAGAAGATACCAACTCAAAACAGGCAGCAAATATCAAAACAGACCTGGAGCCTGAAGCATTCCGGCCAAATCTTAGTGATCCGAGTGAATTACTACAACCAGAGCAAATAGAAAAGGTATCAAGTTATACATGTAATGTATACATACCTGCTTTTCTCCCTTCTATTATAACTTTAAATACACTATAGATTTTTTTTACGCCATTTTCATTCTCCCTTGACAACAGCTCAACTCTCACAGTAGTTTGTTTTAATACGGAAGGTTGGATTCAGTTTGGAGGGGTTTGTTATGTTTATCATATGTGTGTTTTATTGAAGGAATAGGACTAGAAGAGCAAACATCTTATTCTAGTACTTTTCAACTTGATTCCTGTTGACTTAGCTAGTCTAGCTCCTCAGGTCAGAGGCATAATATTGTTATGCAAGAATAAATACCTGCTCTTAGTGCCTTCATAAGGTCTTAGAGACCTTACAAACAGTTGGTAAGTCATTCTTCTGAAAGTCCACAGCAGAGGTGGAAAAAGAAGCTCGCTTGAAATATAAGAGGTAGAAAATATACATGTAAGGCTTGAGGGATGGTCTGAAGATTTAAACTGTTGTGCCAGAATCATTTGTTTTAACTTTAAGTACCTAAAATGTGTGCTAGGTACCTAAAATATGTGCTAGATCAGGTTCAAAATGACGCTTTTCCTGAGCAGTGCGTAAAGAAATGCTAAAGTGAAAGGATCTTGTCTCTTAAGGCTGTTTATAAAACTCCAGAAGATCATAAACAGCCCTCATTTCTATGTAATGCCTACATATTGAAAAAAAAAATATTTAAGAGGTTCATCTTTATCTTGTTAACAGCTCACCAAGTCTCTTCCACCACGGACCATTGGATATCCATGGACTCTTGCCTACAGTACTGCGAAGCATGGCATGAGCTTGAAGACTTTGTATCGAACAATGCTGGGCTTAGACACACCAGTATTGCTGGTTATCAAGGACAGCGATGGCCAGGTGGGAAAGTCATTTGGGACTGGGTACTCATCAAGAAAACAATCTTTTAGCTATTCTTTTATGATTCTTTAACATTTCAGTCCATCATAAGATGAAAGAAAAACTCTGTATATTGAGGTATTTTCCCTCTTAATAGTTATGTGTAGAGTTTAAAAACCTGATTCACTATCTAGGAACTCACTGACATGCTGTATTTTCAGGAAATACTTTAATCCTACAACCTCATTGTCAGACTGAGCCCATAATGTCCAGTTACTGAATTTAATATTTTTTAATGCAGTTAAAGCTTGAGAAATGTAGTAACTTGAGAAATGTAGTATCTAAAATCTCTGATACCAGAGGATCAGTCTAGGTTGGAGAGTCTTTTGCCACCTGCCGTTAGTGCTTCTTGGTCATTCAGTCACTACTGGAGCCGCTAATAGCTCTTCCACTCAAGAGCAGTGCATGTGAATTCTAGAAGATTGACCACATCTTGCAATTTAAGCAGCAAAGATCCTCTGCTGACAATTCTATAAAAGATAAGTCTTAGAGGCAGCACAAGGTTTCAGCTCTTCACTTCTCCCTGAATGTTGTGTACTGGTGCATGGAAGTGTAAGTTGCTGCTATCATCAAGAGTGGACAAAACCACTGAAAAAAAGTTACAGCTTTTGTCTGTTCTCCTTTGGCAACTACTACTTCTATTTTCAGAAGGTATGGTGTCATATCACCTGATATCATTCAGGTTGCCTGAAAACTGTAAATGAAGGGTATGTTAACTAATTTGAACCCCAACTCATGTTTTTTCCTTCTTTTCCTTGCTTCAGAGATTTTTTTTTAATAACATTAAAAGGAAAAACATTTCTAAATCTCTGTGTCAGGAGAGCATTTTCATCAGAAGTTCTTAAAGGAAACTTGATTATTTTTTAATGTTAAATTCACTCAGTGGATTTGATATCTCAGCAGACTCATCGTAATCTTCAAAAGTGCTTTAACTTTCCTTCTCTAGTTCTCTTATTAACTTCTCAATGTTGATTTGTGGATCCTCCAAGATGTATGCTTCCTTGTATCTGCTTAGGGGGCATAAAAAGAAAATCTATTGAATGATCTACCCTAAGATAAACTAATAAGTTTAAAAGGCATCCATTGCCAAGCTAAAAAAAAAAAAAAAAAAAAGTAGGTCTATCATAAGTTTTTCTGAACTGTGAGAAATCTCAATTTACAGGCTCACATTCAGAGATGTGTAAAAGTGTTCCTTGAGTCACCAAGCTACCTGAATTTGCATCTTTCACAGCATAAGACAGATTTTAACCAATTTTGATATGAGAGTGGATAAGGTCTATGTGTACTAGCAAGCAGCAGACAGTATGGAAGCAAAGGCTGACAAGTTTTACGTACTGTACTTCGCCAATTAAGAATGATATTTTTTGTAGTTGTGCTATCTAGCTGTTAAGAGATCTTTGTATTTGACAACAGAGAACTAACTTTATGGTGTCTTTGGATTCAAAACCCATGAAAATTGTCAATCCTTGGATCTACAGTCACGAAAAATGGTCTGGTGGTAGCTTGTTGTGCTGCATACAGTTTAAAACACTACTTTTTTTTTTTTTGAAAACTGTCAATTCATCTATAGTATCCTGCACACTCCTAGCAAGTTGTCCTATAAAAATGCCTTTTTATAAAAAAGGCCCAGAATACTTTACTTTTTTTCCACCAGATATAGTGAAATTGCAGCATCCTGTGAGAGTTAATGGTGTTTATTTCCCTCTAGAGTGAGTATTGGGTGACACCTGGTGTTCTTGGTCCTGATCTTGTGCTCAAAATCACTACCTGCTTTTTAAGTCATCTAGCCTAAAAGTGACCCCAAATAAACTTAGGCCTTTTTGAAGAGCGACGAAATTGTGATGGGGTAGTGCCTTGCCACTTGCTGAGCGTACCAGCTCAGTTCCTGGTGTTGCTGTTCTGCATATTCCATAGCTTCCATTTTTATGAAGGAAACCACTCGTGCAGTCTCAGTTGAGGTGCTTTTCCTTCAAACTGGAACTGACTCACTGTACCCACCTCCTCAGACACTCAATTGAGTAAGGGAGCTGTGTGTATATCTGGATAAAATACCTGTGTTTGAACAATGCTTTTCAGTTCAGTGATGCTGTCTTTTCATTAAAATTATTCTGAAATATTAGGAAAAGCCTCTTCAGCTGTTCTGTTCTAAAAGAAGTTTAGTTTGCAAGTCCTACCTCTCTTCCTCTCCAGTATAGTGTTCCTTGCATCTCCTTTTTCTGAGGTAGTCCTTATGCTGCCTTTGAAAGTATTCAGTAGTACCTGCACCTGTGAAGAGATAGTTTTCCATCCATGCACAAGAGAGTGCATACTCTTTTCACAAGAAGTTGGTTTCAAAGAACCAGTGTTTGATAGAAGTCAGAGGAAACATCTGTTGATGTGATTGTACCTGGTTAGACTTGAAGCAGTCTGTGGATTATCAGAAAGTTTAGAAGGTTATCGGAGATTTTCTTCCAGTAATAGCAAATTATGTCCTATAACTAGACAGTGGGAGGCTTGGAGGGTGGAACGATGGAGAAGGTTGTTCGTTTCATAACGAGCAGTGTGTATGGTCTCATGGTGAGCTGGTAACTTCTTGCTGTTGAAGTAGATGTATGGCTGTTAAAATCTTCAAGTTCCTGGTCTGAAACTTCAGGATTTTGGGCCAGACACATCTGGTTTTGTATTTTCCATGTTTTGCTCTGCAGTGCATATAAGTGGAAATGAGACAACTTTCTTAGGCTGTGCGACAGAAAAGTTTCTGCCTTAAACCAGTCGTAATTAAAGTCGGGACAGTAGCTTTAATGTCTTGCTCATCAGTCCCATTCTGCTTTTGTAAGACCCACTGTTTGAATAAAAATACAGCAGTCTCCAATCCTTTCCCTCCTGCCTTGTACATAACATGTAAATGAGAGTGCTCGTGGTCTGCTCTTGCAGTTACATCTGCTCTACTACTCCTGTAGGTGCAGGAAGATGTTTCCTACAACGAGCAGAAATGGCTGATTGTGGATATTACTTTAGTCATATTTTTAAAAAATTCAGTAGCCTGTCCTCAGACCTCTTTAACAGCTGGTGCAGTGTTCTTATCACTAAACATTGTAAATCCTCTAACTATCCACAAAAGGTTAGTTGAAGTCAAGTCTATTTTAAGATAGGATACCTGTACTTACTTGTTCCTTGAAGTGAAACGAATAAATTGCAAGAAAATCACAACTCAGTTACAGGTAGCAATTTGCTGAAAAAAACCCTAGTGTAAGGAACCATGCTGACTGGAATATCAATGACTCAGAAGCAGATGTATAAGAAGCAGAGACTTTTGGATCTGTAATTCTTTAAAATATGCATTGTTTTCTGAGAAATACCTGTGCTTAGGTTTCTATTCTGTTGTTTGTTTGTGTACTTTAGTGAATGATGGTCCTCATGCAGTTTATTGTTCCACAAAACATCAAACTCTCTTAAAGCAGTCAGAAGTGTGGTAATATGTAAGGCTTATAATCCTGTAGTAAGATTCCAAATGTCACATAATTTGCAGGATAAATTGTAGATTTTTTAAAAAAGTTTTATTTGCATTTTTTTTGCTGATAGGTTTTTGGTGCACTAGCATCTGAACCATTTAAAGTGAGTGATGGCTTTTATGGCACCGGAGAGACATTTCTCTTTACATTCTCTCCAGACTTTGAGGTAAGGAGTTAATGTGTGGGTTTTTTGTTTGTTTTTACCTCTATATGTAATATTTTAAGATGCATGCTATATAGAATTTTTCAGACACTAGAATTGTTCTCAAAAGTATGTGATAGTACTAATTTCTCACAGCTTAAGTACACTGGTAGGGCTTGCATAGGAAAAAACTCGAGTACAATGAGCTTTTCAAGTACTCTTCCCCTACTGTTGTAAATTCTGCTCAAATTCCATGTTAGGAAAAGTCTAACTTGCAAAATATATGTTTACTGAAACCAAAAGTTCAGATATTAACTTGTTAGTCTGTTTTTCATTAGGTTTTCAAATGGACAGGAGACAATATGTTCTTCATCAAAGGTGACATGGACTCCCTTGCTTTTGGTGGAGGCGGGTAAGTCATAATTTTTATTCTTTATTATGGAGAGTCTGTTACAAGTGACTGTATGTGTGTGTGTGTATATATGCAGTTATAGGCCAAGAAGGAAAAGGCTTAATATGAGGAGGAGTTAGTATCACGCAAGGAGGTTTTTATCTTCAACATGATGTGATATCCATTTTCAACCCTTGTGAACTCTACTTGCATGTTTGTCTTGGTACACTCAGAATGCTCATGATGCTTAAGTTTGTAAGCATGAAGTTTGTACACAAGTAGAGGCTTGAACTGAAATTGTAACATCCCAAGATGTACTAGTCAGTGTTCTCAACCCATTTTCCTCATGAGCGCACAAGCTTTTGAGATCTTCCGTGTTCATCATTAACATTCTTCTCACAGAGGAGTGTTGTTATACCTTTGTTTATGGAAATTGAAAGGACTAAAAACTTAGGTTACTTTCTTCAGAATATCTGAATAAACTATTTCTAAATGAAGAAAGAAACTCTTACAGTTTTGAATTCATCAAGAGTTACGAAGTACTTGTACTGAAAAGGAATTTTATGGTTTTTTTTTCCATCCTTCTAGAACTTTCTGAATGAAACACACATTTATTCGTGAGTTGATTTCCTCTATCTTTTGCTTGTATATTGTCTTGCAGAGGGGAGTTTGCTCTGTGGCTTGATGGCGATCTCTACCATGGAAGAAGTCATTCATGTAAAACATTTGGAAATCATACACTTTCTAAGCGAGAAGACTTCATTATTCAAGACATAGAAATCTGGGCTTTTGAATAAGTATATAACTGTTTCTGCAGGGTCTTGTCCCAAACCTGACACGAATCAGTGCAGCACATCCCGAGGAGCAATATAACATTCTGTTCTACGTTTTTTTTCTTTGCTTTCTCTTGTTTTCTGCGTGGCCATCTAATTATAATTTTGAAATAGTAGACTTGTTATTTTCTCACACCTGTAAAATATGGTCCTACTTTTCTAAGCTGTAGACACTTTTAAGAAGCATAAACCTCATGGACTAAAAGTGAGCGTAAGTTGCTTTGAACCTCACAGTCTACAAAATTTCTCACCCTCTCTACAGCTGCCTCCCAAGTTGCCCACACACCTTTCTTCAGTGCTGCCAGGGGGCTGTTTCATTCAATAAAGGCTATTATTTTTGTATTCAAATTATATCTATGAATGAAGCTGCCCTCCATGAACCTACATAAGAAGAAAGCTGTGTGTGAGTGTTACAGAGCTTGGTCTGGACCACTGATGGGTAATTTCATCCGGTGCCACAAGATAAGAAGCTTAGCATTCCTTCTTAATACATACCAGTATGCATATGGTCAAGTTAGAAGGTATATCCAAAGTCAACAGTGCCACTTGTCATGTTTATTGTTRTTTATGTTTAGAAAAAAGTCAGTTAAACAATACAGTAAGTGCTCTAACTGCATGCTGATTGTGTTAGAGTGTTTTGCACATGCTGTTAATGATCTGTAGGTTTGGGACAAATGCTGAAAATGTTGAGCTACGTGGCAAGGACTTACAAAATAGCAAGGGAGCGTAAGAATGTGACAGTTCCACAAATGTAAAAGGCTAAAGCAAGTGAAACTCGAACAATTTGTAGCTATAGTAGGGCATTAAAAGTACAAAGATGACGAAACAGATGCATCTTTCTTCAACATAAAGTGTCAGATATATACTGTTATACTGTTGTAGCTGTGTAGCACATCAATTCCAAGAATATAGCTTATTCCTGTCCAAAGAAAAAATAGTTGTGATGTTTTTGAGTGGATCTATGTTGTAAATTTACAGTTAGCACCAGCTCTGATTAAAATGAGATAATGTACTATAGGTAGACAATATTGTAATTCTGTAGACTTGTGGAATATGCAAACTTACTGTCATGTGACCTCAAGAAAATGACAGGCTAGAATACAGTTCCAGTAGCTCTTGTCCACTTTCGTAGGAAATCGATAAGCCTTTGTGGCAATAACAGCTCAACAAAACTGTTTGTTTCAAAGCTTCTATTCTATGTTCTGCAAAAACAAAAAGAAAAAAAAATTGCTGTTAAGTGTGACAGTGACTGACTTTGTGCTGAAATTTCAGCTATTTCAGATGAACATTGTATATTATCTTGTAAATTAATGTTTAAAGTAGTTTTGTTATTATAGAAAAGTGTTGATTGACGGGTTGCTAATAGCACTTTAAATTATTCTAGAAATGGAATAAAAGCCAAATGGGTTGGCTTAAGTAGATGTAGTTGTATATTTCAAAATATTTAGATCTTGGAAAAGTTTTAAAAACTTACTTGAAGGCCTACTGCTATGTTAAAGAAAAAGGGCAAATGTTTCATCATATATGCTAATGCTCAATATGAATAGAAATACAGGGCTTTGTTTCCTGTCTCTATGTATAGCTCTTTACCCTTATTAGAACTTAGTATAATGTGTAGACTAAATGTTTACAAAATAAGGAACTGTAAATAAAAATGGCTCTTCTCCCCTTTGGTCTTCCACAGCAGTATTATTGTCTTTGTGGAGTTAAGACTGATTATTACAAAAAGAAAATCCTGTAATGGATTTGGAGTACTATAAGGTCATAGTGATGTATAGCAAATAAATCTAAGTATATGTAAAAATAAACTGGAGTTGGAGTTTATTTAGAAGGACAAGTGTAGGTTTTTTGCTGTTACTAAAATAAGTTTAATGAATATTAACAGGATCTGTTTGTTCATCGTTCAGCACTGATCATCACTTTCTTGATGGGCRATAGGTGCTTAAAAAGCTGGAAATTATCATTAAGAGAAAAGGCAAGAAAGGAAAACAAAAAACAAAACAAAACAAAAAAAAACCCAGAGGACCTGGACCTGTTTAGCTGGGTTTATGTGTTGGTTTGCTTTCTACTTCTTCTAATAACATCAAAAGATAAATAGCTCATAATACATAATAAAATGCAATTGACCTTTAGAAATTCCTTGGTCTTGCTTTGTCTAACAAATTCATAATTAGTAATGTACTCATTTTAAAAGCTAGGAAAAAAGATACCGTTCAAATTTTACCTCCTCCTCACTCTCCAAGCAGAGAAACAGAATATTCAATCACCTGTTGCTCAAATGCATAATTAGAAGGTGCYCAGATAGTATACTGAGTAGAATTTAAAATAGGTTTTAGTGTAAAACACATAACACATTCACACATTCAACTAATCAGAGTTCCTGACACTGYATATCACCGTTTGTTTGTTTGCTTCAACTTTTAGAAGATTTATGGTTCTAACTGTAGAAATGATCACTTTTATTTCAACATAAATGCTTGAGTTATTTGGAAGACTAATAGACCATGTGTGTAACAGAAGCTTTTCAGTCAAGTATCTTGCCTCAGGGTGGAGCTCTGTCATAGTAGGAATAGTASGCTCATTATTTCAGCTCAGGAAATTTTCCAATCTTTAAGGTTATGGATATACATTGAGGGGAACAGTTGGTACCCTAGAGAGTACTGCTGCAGTTCAGAGGATCTTGACAAGCTGATGGCAAAAGARGTTCAGAAACAGGCTGACCAAGACAAGCTCTGTGCAGTTCACCACAAGCTAGACTCTCTGTGCTGGTCAAGCTCTATCTAAAAGCTCTGCAGAAGGCCCTTGCCAAGATGTGGGATGAACAAGCCGAGCATGTCTGCAACGTGCCCTTGTGATGACTGAAGCCAATCGCTTACTGGTCTGTAGCTGAAAATAAAGGGAGGTGGTTTCTCCTCTTCTTGAGGGTAGTGAGCCTTCATCTGGAGTATTGTGTCCAGTTTGCACYGACTACGCCAATTTGGCAGCATTTCTCAAGTAAGTCCAGAGGACTTCTGAGATATTTGGAGAACCAGGGCAYGCGTTGTACAGAAAAAGGCTAAGTTTGATTAGCCTGTAAGGAATAAAAAACAAGGGAAGTTCTGACTGCTGTTTTCAGAAACCTAATGAGGTTTCAAGGCAAAATGAAACTAGAATGTTGGAAGTGAGCAGCAAAGGGTGAGACACAGCACACAAGTTGACAGCAAGGGAAATTCTAACTAGACAAAGAAATATTTTGCTCAGCAATGGTAGGTAGACCCTGGCAGAGGTTTCCAAATTGTGCTGTAGAATCTCCATCTATGAGCGCTTCAAGCTTCCCAAACTATAGGGCAAGGTCCTAAGCAACTCATATTTAGCCATGCCTTGAACAGACAGTTTAATCAGATTATTTTACAGTGTCCTGTGTTATATTATATTTCTTTGGTTTTTTTCCCTGAAAAATCTGCATCACAGGATGTGCCAGACATTCCTGCAAAAAGATCAAGCCATCTCTTATAACTGCCTTTGGCATTGCATGCCTCCAACTCTTTATTTTACCCYTCTTTTCACAATTCAGATTTGTGGGTGAATCAAATTAGTACCTATTAAATGGATAGTTTTGTTACTTTCGTGATAATGATGTAACCCTACTGAAGACGCAAACATTTTATAGCTACTATATCWTTTACCATGTCATAATCTGCTATTGTTATAACTAACCAAGAGAGGAGTATTTCTGCACTTTAAAGAAATTATAATTTCTTGTTAATGTGCCTCTACTGTGAAGAGCTTAGCAATATTGTAATTTCAGTGTATGAGTAGGACAAAAAAATATAAAACTCAAGACTTTTTTTTTTTTTTTTTTGAGGCTGCATTAAGTTTTTGATGTTGCTTGTATTGGGATGGATGTGGATGTGGAAGGTCTAGGACATTACCTGCAGTAAGCTGTAGGTTTCTGCTGTGCATCAGTGATTACCTTATTCTGATGATATAAGAATATAAAGGTAAGGAGAGATTTGAAAGGCTTGAAAGCTAGTCCTCCCCTTCGATCAATTGCTCTAATATTACCTTTATCTAYGGATACAATTTTGTTTTTTATCTTACATGGTAAGTACAAGTGAACAAATATCTGGATATTCTAATAAGCAAGCAGCATCAGTTACATGAAGTGTTGAGATTAAATGAGATCAGTAGTATGTCAGTGCTCGTTTCTGTTGCTGAATGTGTTCGAGTAAAACAGTAGTCAAAGTCCAGTTCTCTCTACTGTGCTCCACAGTGAAGAAAACCTGGGCAAGTTCCCTGTCTCTTCTGTCACTGTGAGTTATAATGCAACCAAGAAGCCTGCACTTCAGCTGAACCTGTCCTTGCCCCTTCTGCCTCCAGCATTCACTATCCATTGGGTAGACTTTAAAACATAGACTTGTCCATGTTCACTTCTGATAGGGCTACAGGAGCCCACTTAGGTCAAATGTCTGTAACCAAATGTCTCAAATGTTTAAGTAAATTAAACTTTTGCAAGTCTTAAATGCAGATAGTRCCCAATTTTGGATACTAAAACTGTGCTAGAAACATTGATCTCCTCCAAAGAAAATGCTAAACTTGCCCAGAAATGCTGGAGTAAGGTGCCCGTGCACAAGAACATCAGCAGCTTCCTCAGCACGGTGAGGTTGGAGACCTGTCTGCTCGCAGGCCAGCGTGCCCGGCAGGGCTTGGTCAGCAGGCCTGCAGTGATGCATAAGCGGCCCTCATGTGGATGCAGGTTGGTGGTAACGATTGTCACCCTCATTTCGTTTCTCATCGCTCGTTAATCATTTTCATCAAGGGCTCGGTTAGCAAAAGATAGCGAAGGGGCAGCCCTCTGTATTCCACGTTCCTGGCAAAACTAGTAGGGAGAGCTGACCTACCTTACAGTTGCCGTGGACTAATTTGTATTTACTCAGATGACTGAAGGCTGTGAGCTCGGAAGGTGGGTTTTTTTGTTTGAGTTATCTTTTGTTTACTTTTCATCTTTTCAAATTCAAGTTTGTTCGTAATGTTTCCCTAAAGCTTCATTAAAACCCAGTAGAGATTTCATAGCAGAGCAGAATTTCCAAGTATGTGCKGTAAACATGTTTAATATTCAAATGGCCTGTTGGTGGTGTATTCCTCTTAGTGTATTACCATACAAAAATATATTATTTATACTGTCTAACGTCTTTGGAAGCAGTTGTAATTCTTCATAGAATGATAAGGCATTCTTGGGCTTTAAATGACTTGCTAAAAAACACTGAAAAGGATATGTTGCCCTAGGAGAAAATCAGAATTTTGTGAACATGAATGTAAAATAATTTATTTAATTAATATTTAACCACTTTAGAGTATGATACTTTTGACAAGTTTTTAGCATGAAAACAGTGTTTTATTTCAATGTAATATCTTCTGCTGTGGACAGAAATCATCACAGGGAAATATTTTAACTACTTGTGAACAGAAGAAGGTGCTTATATTTGAAACAACATGTTAATGCTTAAATTCTTAAATCTGTTTTTTATTTTTGGCATGGCAAGTGGGAGGGTTAACCAAAGAAATATTCAAAAACCATGTATTTATTTATTAAATATAATTCAAGTATTCTTTTGACCCACAAATCTCAAGACAAGTTAGGATGCCATAATAGTAATTATACAAAGATGTGAAGAATAAGGTTAATCATACGCATATAAATGTTCTGATATGTAAATGTGTGCAAAGATACTGTTTGTCAAATCTGAGTAATGTTAGAGCAGTAAAAATGGACATTGTCAGACAGATGCCATTAAATCCATCTTTAGTTCAAGTTTTTAKTCTCTATTCACAACATAGAGCTCTGCCTATAATATTAATGTTYTACATGAAGTCTTACAGTAGGCATATTAGTATCATTAACTTATAAATTATATAACTCATACACTCATTGGGAATTTCAAAACGGAGTACCTGTACTCTGGTTAAGCAAGTATACTGTATAAGCTAAGCAATACTTGTCCTTTCTTCCATAAGAAAGATATTTAATCTTTCAGTTTGAAAGAATCTTATTTAAAAAATTACTTTTCATGTAGCAAATTAATTGCCTAGATATGTTGCTCTGAAGCAAGTGCTTTACGTACAAAACATATTTTTCACTAGGATATGTTTTTTAGCCAAGGTTTAAAGTAATCCTGATCTGCTTAATCCAGTAAGCATTATATACCCTTAAAGGTCTCAAATTCGTTTGTAATGGAAGTACAGTTTTAAGACATACAAGTTCAGCTTTTCTTCACCTTCAACACTACCTGAACTGAAAGGAAATATTTCAGTAATATTGGAATATAAGAATGCAGCAGTACTTCAAATGATAAACGCTCTAAAATTAATGCAATTTTTAAATTTTTTCTTAACATGAAATTCCAGTCCCCTTAAAGCTAGCTTCTTTTAAGRGGTATATGCATCTTTTCACTTTGAAGCCTGTTCCAATGGAAAATGTTGCTTGTAGTTGCTTGTATACTATAAGTAACAGTACAGCAAYGTGATATTTTTCTATGTTATGCACTATTTCTCCCTGTAATTTAAGGAATATAGATATAGATATATATATACACACACATAGGTATTCAGATTCAGAACATTGCATGTTATTGGAAGATTTGGAGGGGAGGTTCTGATCACAATATATTGGTTGTCTACATTGTTTTCTTTCCATCAGTCATCAATATAAATATGAAGCCATTTAATAAATTATAAAATAAATATATTAAATACAAAATCTCTTAAATAAAAGAGGATTCTACCTTAGTTTGTAGATATGTATGAGAAAACTTTCTTATTACTGAATAACTACAAGACAATACTACAGTTTTATTTGAATATAATAGGAATGAGATATGCTATCCTTTATTCTGTGTTCAAATAAACTTGCTTGCATTTGCTTAAATATTTTACTAAGAAATGTGCACACAAGCTCATTTTTTGCAGATCAAAAACTTGGTCTGAGTCTATGTCCTCATTCAGCTTCTGGTCTGGCATGATTTATAAGAATCCACTGAAAAATCCCAGTTTAATTAGTTGGGAGGAACTTGTGTGTAAGAACAAACAAAAATGGAATTAATTTGTAGCTATTTCTGTTGCCATTAGTWTTTTTATATTCATCTCCTTATATGTCATATAGATTTTTCTCTTAATTATGAGAAAAAMAAAGCATTTTAAACTGAAATGTCCTGTAAATCCCAGGGTACAGAGAAAAATCCACTGGGATGCTTGTTTTATCAAGCAGTAGTTTGAAAATGCATTTTTAGAGAAACAATATGTTTTCTGTGTGGATGTGTGGGGAAATCTTTGATTCAAAATGAGCAAAAGCTAATAGCAAGGGAAGAACAAAGTTTTGCTGAGCTAAGCTGCTCTTGGAGCCCGCTTATTTTAGTAGAGTAATTACGACATGATCATCCCTGCCTTGCCATAGCATTTCCCCCTCRAAGTCCACCAGCCCGTGTTTCCTGGCTCTCATGAGGATCCCAACAACCTTATCAGAGATACGAACGTATCTGTCAAAGAGCTCCCCAAAAGTGACTTGGACCTTGCCGTCGCGCCGGGGCTTGGCCATGGATTCGATGATGAAGCACAGGTCGCGCATCTCCCGGTGGATGTGGGCCTCGGCTCTCTTGGCCCTTTCCGCCGTTTTGGTTCCCTCCTTGGGATGGCCGTAGCCTGMGTCTCCCTTGTGCAGGCGCGTGGACATGGCCAGCTTGTGATCAAACTCCTCGCTGAAGGGGTTCAGCTTCTGTGTTAGGATGTGCTGATCCGCCCATTCTTGCCATCTGTGTTTCAGGCTGCCGACAGGGCTGTACTTCCTCTGYGCTTTCCTGCTTATTTCTTCAGTAAATTTGCAGGCACTGAAAGGAATAGAGTAACGGTATGTGAGTCTTGCATGTCATCGTGTTTAATTATGCAGTTCTACCACTCATCTTTTCTCATTAGCTTATTCACAGCGGGTCCAGACCAGCTGCTAACCACTAGATGGCATGTTCTCATTAAGTCTAAATTAGTCCTGGGGCATTTAATCCACACTTYGGTTTGTGTGGAAATTTACATGAGCACAACTTGGTGTAAGATAAAAGACATCAATGTAGATGAGGGAGGAAAACTCATTTTTCTGAGCTTTCGCCCAGAATGAGCTAATTCTTTAGGGATGTGAAATAGTATGTGGCTGATTACCTGCAATTTTTGTACCTTTCCTTAAACTTGTAGCTTCCCTTTTCTGCCTGTGTAGCAGAACCTGTCGTTGACTCATGTTGTAGATGGCAATAACTGCAAGTGTGCAGACTGGGTCTTTCAGCTGCTCGTGACTGAAAAGTATAGGGCAGTATCTGGAAAAACTTGTCCTATCCTGTCAGTGCTGCCCAGAAAAGGCAGTGGCTCTGTCCATGCTGAATTTCAAGCGCGGCTCTCAAGTACTGTTGAAATCCAAACCTGACTCATCTTCCACAGGCTGGGAGAGGTTTAAGGCCATTGAAGTTGGAGTCAAAGGATGAGGGAAAGACTCCAAATACCTTCCTGAGCTTTGTGGCCATATCACTGCATGACTTCAAGCAGACAAGATAAATCACTTCCTCAACTGAATATGTGGGAAAGTATCAACAGGAATGGGAAAAAAAAAAAAAAAAAAGGGAGGGGGAAAAAAAAAACCTATACCAAGTCTAACGAACTCAAGGCAGGCGACGAGCAGATAGTTTATCCCTCAGTGACAGGAAGGTAGTTGGGAAATTAAGACACTGTAATCCAGAGCCTTACCTCTGGATTTTGTTATTCCTTTTTCCTCAAAATATTCTTGTTATTCTAATATTATTCTTTCCTATCTCTTTTTGCTTCACTCCTTAACTCCCTAATCTTAAAATCTTAGTAGCTGAAATCACCRTTTTTCTTATCACTTTTAATTTGTATGCCTATGTGATTTTAGAAAAATACTTTTATTTAATGCATGTCGCAGTTTAACAGTTTCTAATTTAAAAAGTGTTACTTTCACTGCTGTTGAGCTTATCAATGTTACACATATATATTAATAAATTACAAGGTAATTGTAATGTAAAACCAAATATATATATATATACATATATATGCATATATCCAGTTTGTCAATCTGCACAGCACATAGCACTTCAGATTGTGAAGCTTGTGGCATTAATCTACTGTAACAAGTGGTTTACCTGTAACAACCCCAAAAGCTTCCCTGTCAACCAAAATGATAACTGTGAATGTACCCTGAACCTCCAGACCTCCAGGACTGCTGTGCACATTAGGCTCCTAAACAGAAATCAAATAGTTTTTCTTAGGCCTGTAGCAGTTAACATTCAGCCTATGAAGGAAGCAGCCTGATTTCTGGCAAGCATTGCAGCTGCAAAGGATGAACGTGCTTGTGAGAGGAGAAAAAAATCACTGGCCCTTCCTGGAATATAGGAAAGGAAAATGGGAGATTGGCTTAATCTTCTTCAAAAAGAATGGGAAAAGAAAAAAAAGGACATGAAATAAAAGCCTGCAAAAGCACCAATGAGAGAGCCAGTTGGTTAATGGTTTTAAAAAAAATCAAGTCCTGAAACAGCAATTTAAATACATATTTATACTGCTATTTATATTTTCTGGCATATAATAGTAAAAGAGATAGATGTAAATAATACAGAAGGCGTTATTTCAGTCATTTGTCCTTCAGTAAATATGACTAATCTATTTTTCTTAGGTAGCAGCACTAAAATTAGATATATGGGGAAGATATATGTGGAGCTCAGCAGAAAGACAGCAATTTCATTTCTCCTATGGCATTTTTAAGCAATTTGTTGTAATTGAGGTTATTTATAGATAACTGCTGCAAATATATCTTTTTTCTACTATATTTGAGAAAATCTGCATTTGTGAGATCTTAATTTCAATAAACAATAAACACAGTCTCTTCCAAAAATATGAGCAAACTGTCCAGCCCTAGCTTATTGGTGAGCTTTTTTGTTCTGACTCTTAAGGGATTATTCCTTGTGGGAGATGATCAGGCAGTTCTGTAGCAAAGTGTTGGTGTAATCTYCAGTCTGACATGGTCAGATATCTGTTGTACAAGTGCTTGAATTATGTGCCTATGTTAGTAAATGGATGCTGCCCATGGTAAGTATTAATCTACAGTGAGTAGAGCCCAAGCAATGGCAGTGATCGTGTCTGCCTGATTGCAGATAAATCAGTGACTCYGTCTTGGCATTTCCATCCATATTGATTCCAGTTTCTCATTTTCAAAATAGKGATAATAGTGATCAGAATATCATATAAAGATACCAGCCCTGATCCTCCAATCCCTGCTGTCTTGCTAGTCCCTTACATGCAAGTTAATTGAGTCAGTGAAAAATCCTGCTGTCTCATCTCAAATTGCCCTGTGCTTGGTTTGCACATGTGCACTTGGGAGTGCAGCAGAGGTTCATGTCCTGCTGTGTGGGTGGATCCTGGTGGGAAATAGGATGTTGGTTGGCTCTTCCCTCCCTGTGAGCTCTGCCAGAGCCTCCTTCAGGTTACATTACAGCCTCCAGCTGTCCCAGCAGTGGAGCTCACATGTGCTGTACCTTAACCTCCATGGAACAAGGACTGCCCTCAGAGCCTCCTTCATCCCTCTTTTAAAATTAGATATGTTATTCACTTATCTGAGTCAGATACAAATTCAGACTTGATCATACATTTGTTTCTCTTGTCCCTGCTCTAAGGGATTACAAAGTTGGTGAAACACCAGGCTGGAACCAACCACACAAGCCTACAAGTTGCCCCTTTTCCACCTTGGGTGTCTGAATCCTTTTATCCTTCACTAAAAGGAAAGAGTCGCAAACTGGTTTGGCAGCTGACCCCTTGGCAAGTCTGATGACAACTGCTGGTGGCCATCAGCTAGAAAGGTGGTCCTGCCAGATGTCCCCAGGGAAGCAAATTGGAGAACATCTGATGATCTCAGCTTGCTGATCCCCTGTGGGACTTGCTGTTCCTCTGTTTTTCCAGGAGGTTTCCCAAGGACTATGTGTTTGCAGATGAACTTGTTTACTATCTGTACTCCAAATTTAACATGCAGCTGCTGTTGAGCAGTAATCTCTAAGCAAGAGCCTCTTGCTGAAAAATATTACTCAAAATTTGCATGCTATAGATTTGATTGCTACTTAATTCATATCCTTGAGTGGAACCTGCAAAAAATGTGTGGGTAAGTAATAACAGACTCTGCTCATTCTGTTTGCTTCACAACAATTATAGGCATAAAAAATCTGCCACGTGTCAGGAACTTCCCTTTTTTGCTGGGAAGCAATTTGTAACAACATATTCAATTAACATACTCTTTTTCTTTTCGTAGTACACTCATGGAGAAACTTTGAATTTTAGAAATCAATTAAATATTCAAATGCTTTTTTCACAAATGATTTATAGCATCATATTATAGATCAATCCTTCAGATGTAGCAATGAGATAGATGCTTTATACTGCTTGATTAGGGTCCTGACTCCTATGCTAGCTTTGACTTGATGGATTCCAAACCCCTGTAAAGCCTACAAAGAGAACCCAGCTTTTACTAAGATGTGTTTAAGAGCTATTGCTGCAATATCTCATTTGGACATATTTTCCAAATAAAACTTTCTGTGTCTGTTGTGTATATATTGTATAGAAGCCAAAGTTATAGTCAGATGATGTTGGCTCTAACCACTTAAGCACAGAGTGATATGAATCTCATTTCCTTATCTCATTTCCCTTCCTCCTTATGAAAACCTGCACTTGCCTCACAGTCTGCTGACCGTTTATGACACTACAGTGAAGATGTTTTACTTACAGAGATGATGCAGGTTCCTTAATCCTCACAGCAGCCACTTTCTCTTGGTCACCATCTTCCGGCTCAACTCTATCCTCTGCTTCTCCATAGCCACTATCCGCTGTATCCACGCTGTCTTCCTGGCACTTAAGTAGCAGCTCCTGCCTAGGAGCTTTGTTCTCTTGTTCCATCACTTTCCAGCTCTTGCTCAGCTCTGACACCACGTTTGAGCACTTTCTCCTCATAGTTGGAGATAATTTACCACTAAGAATTTTGTCAATAGCACTTGATTCTTCTTTCTGCTTTATCATCTCTGAGCTGCTATTGTCATGTTCATATCTATTGCTGAGGAGGCTGATGTCACCTCCTCTTTCATAGGCTTTACTTACAACCGTTTTGGGAACCTCTTTGCTTTTTATGTTCAGCTTTTTGAGGGCTTCATCTGACTCCCTTGAATTCTTTTCATCATCCCTTATTGTCACCGGCTCCTTTGCTAAGGACTTTCCATCGTCTTCCGTCTGATGCTTCTCCGCGGATGGTATTGACCATTTTTCATGCGCTCTTTCTTGTAGCAGCTGAGCTGATGAGTCCTCCTTACTGGGTAYCCACCCAGAGGGCTCTTGCGCTTGCTTTATGTTGTGGTCACTGACCCACTGCTGCCAGCCTCGTGCCAAGCTAACGACGAGGCTGGCTGTTCGGATCTTGTGGACAGCCCTTTTTGCAGGAGCAGCGCCCGGCTTGTCTTCAGGAGCCGGCTTGCTGTCTGCTGCCATTGTGGCTTTTCCCCTTCTGCCGCTGAGTACCTGGTGAATGAACTTCTCCAGTGAGTAATGTCCAGGCAAGAGAGCTGCGGAGATTTAAATAGAAGTGGGAGCATCTTGTGCCCGTGGAAAATATGTCAAACACTTCTGCCGAAGTATCCTCACAGTTACAGAGTTCTTTTTTTAAAGCAGCGGGATTATATTTCATCACAGCAGATGATTGATGCGTGATGTAAACAGGGTGACACATACCTGCAGTGGCAGAGTGGGAATTAACAACTCCTGTAAATCCTCTACCCCAGGAATATTCAGTTCTCAATTTGCTGGAGAGTGTGGCGTTCTTCTAGAAGCACAGAACTTGGGTTGAGATCCTGAACAGTGGCAGAAATTCCCAAATGTTCTATGCTATCACTTGCTGACAACTGCAGAGTAGGGACCATTTATCATCACAAGTTAGAASTGCCCTACTTGTGGAGTGTAAATCCAGAAGTAGACAAGTGAAAGAGAAATTTTAGATGCATTTTCCTAAAAGGTCTACAAACTATTTATTGTTTGTAGTTACTTATATCCAAGGAAATCCCTGGAGGAGGGAGAGAAAATTTTTAGAAGTACTTAAAAATTCTGGGTTTTAAATCGTTATCTATTTAATTGGAATGTATTTTGGAGGTCTAGGAACCATTTCATAATTAGTATCAGCATTCAAAATAAAGGAATTACTCTGGGAATTCTTATGCATGTATGTACATATATAAGCATACATTTTAATATTGATAAATCTGGATGAGTGGATGGATGGGTGATCTCATAACTTTTATTTGGGATTTTGGGAAAGCAAAGTATGACCTATCTCATTCCTGACTGCATTTTAAGGAAAATGCATGTAAAACATAACAGTTACTTGTTTACTGTRTAAGGAAAACAAGCTTTCCAAGAAAATGCTGTGATTTCTTGGTTCCGTAGGACTTGCAGATGGCTAGTCTTATTTGGCTTTGTAAAACTGATTGGTAAAAAAAAAAAAAATGTATAATAATAAACAGAAAATTTTGGATAGACAATTCTGTAGTATCTTATTTCTTAGTATAATGTTTCCTAAATAGGAAAGGAAAGTGGCATTGCTTTTTCCATCAGTCATACCTTGCAGTTTGCAGGATGACCTGCAGTACTTTCCATGTGACACTCTGAACTTCAAGGAATTCCCATGGCTTCTGGAGTTGTGTCAGAGATAAATATGACCTCTTAGTATCCTGCCTTTTATTTATTTATTTTTATTAATGACTGAGGTTATGGAAATAGCTTAGATCAGATCTAGCTGTTGTTTAATAATATAAGACTATATCATCTCTTGGACTTCGGAGTAGAATTGCTCATTAATCTGAGGGATCATTTCCTCTTCAAAACTATCGGCAAAATGTAGGGTAGTGTTACTATTCAATATTTACTCATATGTTTATTTTAGAAAGAAATGTATGACCTCAGGCTACTGTACTATCTCAGCTATTGCCAGCTGCATCATGAGTCTGAAATGACTTTGTGATGTGTGCTGAGGCAATCTGACTAGGAAGTCTGGGTTACAGAGCATGTTTATTTTGGTAGTTCTTAGAGCATAAGAAGAGTGGGAGCTTCTTGTGTTAAAAGATAGGTATATATAGGTTATGTATATACAGGCATGCATGCACCTTGAGTGGTCAATATTACTTAATACATAAGGAAGATGTAAGTGGAAGAAAATAATGTACATGCAGAATGAGCATTTCCACATCAGCACACTATGTCAAATCTCATGATTTCTTAAACATAAGGGTGACCGAGACTTCAYATATGAGTCGGAAACTAAATTTTTAAATGCCAGGAAGGAAGGTGTGAGCTGAAGCTGGAGTGAAGGAACCCTATAGGGATGATGATAAAAGATAATATTGACAGGGACCTCCACAGTCATCTCCAACTGGTTAACCAACTTAAAAACTGTAATTTTTTGTGTGTCTAGTATTCAACTCTGCAATATTGCTCTAAGTCTCCACCACTGCCAAGTGAACAGATAGAAAAATCCACCTCTTTTGGAGGCAGCCTTTCTAAATAGAGTGCTATATTTCATCCTCAGTCTTCTAAACATCCCTACTTCTTGCAATATTTTCTTGTATTCTCATGATCAGTGATCAGCTTTTTTGTTTTTCTTCTGGATTACCTAGACATGGTCCATATCTTTAAGTGTGATGTCCAAAACTTGCACAGTATATTCCAGGTTACGCTCACCCTTACAGAGGAAAGGCAACAGAAGTCTGGTATGTTCTGTTCCTGTTTTATATTATACTTCTAATTGTCAAAGTTTCCTAATGCTATCCTGCTAAATGGCCCTCTGTATTTAGAGTTGACTGTTTTGTGTAAGTGACCTTSATGATTACTATATTTTATTCTTAGCTTTAATCCCTGTTCTAATGTTCTTGAAGCTTGATTCAGATATGATAAATGATCTGTTTATTCCACCTTTGGAACCATGAATGAAAATACAGGAAAGCGTAAGATAGATCCCTTGCTCTACTTAGTGAGATCATCCAGCTTGACAGAGAACTATTTTATTTCTAAGTGTTTTTCCAGTCAATTTTGCACTATTTCAATAAATTCTGTRTATCATGTAAAAGCAAAAACCTGATCCATGTCAAGATACAAGATATATAGTATCTGCAGCAGCAGATACTGCCCATCTTCAAAGATGGGTACTTTGTAAAAGAAAATAAGATTGCTTTAATGTAATTTGTCAAATCAAGTTATCTGTAACTTGCTTTTGTTGCAAAGGGTTCAGCGAGGTTTATTACTGTAATTACTGTTGAGGTTCTGGGGCACTTTTACTCTGATACTCTGAGACTTTGCAAGTATTGAAAATTGTACTATTCGTAAGAGTATAGTTACATTTTTGAAGAAGCTAATTTCAAATAACTTCTTAAAAAATTTGGTTTTACTGATGGGCYTGACCTTGGTGTATGGGTCATCACCCCAAAAAACTAATGATTGTCTAATTTAGGTGCAGAATATGGCAGAAGTCACAAACTGAGGAAACTGGTGAACATCAAGRTGACTGTTATAATTACTATTAGATCCATTTTGTACCACATTTTAAGCAAAATGTTTCATTTAACTTGTTTGCTTTTTTAAGATGGAGTTATAATTTCAGTCTTGTAAAAAGTGTTTGTTAAACTCATGTAATTAAGGACGAGTACCATTATTGAATGGTGATTGACTTTTTATTGTGTGTTTGCTAGTGAGACATTAATCATGAGAAAAGTAAAAACAATTACTCAGTCACCCAGTAAGATTCATATTTTTCAGATTATGTCAGTCCTTCACTTAGCTTTTACTGCAGTAACAGTGAAAATATATTACTTAACTGTAGTTAATTTGTATTGTTATTGGATTAATAGGCCTGTTTGAACTGATCTATACTATTCCTAAACTTAACTTTCCTGATAGCCCTTCCAGAAGGCTACAGGTACTGATGGAGTAACAGAAGGCATTGGAGTACTGACGTGATTTGGGCTGACTGAGGCCGGATCACATTTTCTACATGTCTTTTATAAAAAGATGTCTTTTATAAAAAGTTTGTTCCAAAGCACAGTCACCCTCGCAAAGCCTTGAGGCCTGGTGGACTCTCAGAAGTTCAACAACTCTGCTGGGAGTTGGCCGAAGGTATCTGGGGAAGTCTAGTCACTGAAGAAGGCAATAGATGAGTAGGATTGACCTGCTTACCTTTGAAATTTATAAGCTCCCTTCTCTTTGACTGTATATGTGTGCTCTTCTGGCACTTAAACTGACATCTGGAGACAAATTGGCGCATGTTCCTAGAATCTTGTTATTGGTTTTGAACTGCTGCATTTCACTTASCATCTCTGACTTCTTAAACCCTGAAATACAAGGGACTGACCTGACTAACTGAGATGTGGCTAATTTTAGCCTTTCTTATTTATTTATGCTCCTTTGCCCATGATGGACTCTTCTGTGTATAGTTATATGCAGTTTCAAAAATCCTATTATTTCCCATCCTGTGGAATATTAATAGYCTCTCAGGGAGCAGTTTGTCATTGATTTCACTTGGTTTTTTAAAATATGTTTAATTTTAAAAGTAAGACTTCATCATTCATTGCTTTACCTTATTAGACATATTTGTACATAAGTTATTCAATGTTTTTAATATCTTTAAAACAAGAAATTTCATTTTCAAGCACTTACAAGCATATGAAAAATGCTATCTTCTTCCTTAGATTTAGTTGTGAATAATGAGCACAATCTGTTTTACAGCTAAGTGTTACCAGCTGCCGTTATCAATAAAAGTCTCAAGACTGAATATTCTTTTCATCATTAAACTGCTAAAGTACATTGTGTCAGAACATCATATTTTGCCAGTGATCCAAAAACCTGTGCAAATGGTTAGAGGTCTGAATTTCCTCTAAATTTAGGCTTGCATCAAACTTCACTTGTAACAGCAGTAACAAGCAAATGTGTTTAATTTTCTCTACAGTTTTGTCTGYAATTCAGGTGTTTCCTGAGTTCCAAGAAATGTACCACTGCTGCACCTTTGGCCTCAATTCTTTAGGTGCACTTGTACCTCATGAATTTTAGATTATATCCTCAAAACTCCTCTCTCTCTAGGTGAGGTAGTCTTAAATGCAAGCTGGCCCAGCAACAGGAAACAGTGCTCTAGTAAATGATCTAGAAAAGAATGAGATTTCAGCATGCTTTTTTCACTGGAGCCTGGTAGAGATACCTGTTAGGCCTGAGAGACCCAAATCTGAGGGCAGAGAAGTGTCCCCAGATGTGTCTGTCTTAGGTACTTAATATAAATCCCACTACTGAAAGAGCAAAACTCTTTTCTGTCTTCAATAYAGTCTTCCTAAAGAGTAGCCCTTACTAAATAGAAAAAGGAAACTAAACTTAGGAGGATATGGAGCCTTGACATTTTTTGACACATTTTTTGTGCTTTTGCATAGAAATACCTTGTTTCCTTCCACATATAACATCCCTTT